AGTTCTTAACCATCGCGCCACCCGGCCGGCCCTCATTTATAAAATTTTTAAAGGATATTATTCACATAACGGTGATTATGTAAAAATATATTTATGGCTCTCGAGTAATTTTCAAATTGTGAGGGACAGGATTGGCTCTGCCAGGGGTCAGCTAACTTTTGAGATGGAATGTACCCAAAGAGCCGCATGAGGCTCCCGAGCTGCAGTTTGCTGACCCCTGGTCTGGAGTATGGCCCCACCCTAACAGCTGCATTTTAACTTAATCACCACTTTAAAGGCATTATCTCCAAATACAGTTACTGTATTTCCCCATGTGTAAGACGCTCCCATGTATAAGATGCACCTTAATTTGGGGGCCCGAAATTTGAAAAAAATGTATTACCTAAAGTTATTGAACTCAAGTTTTATTCATCATAAAATTCATACAACTCCTCATCACTTGCGGGAAATGCAAGTAAAAAAATCTACAACCACTGTATAAGACACACCCAGTTTTTAGACGCTACATTTTTTGTAAAAGGGTGTGTCTTATACATGGGGAAATACGGTACAGTTTGAGGTATGGGGTTAGGACTTTAAAATAAATTTTGAGGGGACATAATTCATCTTATATACCCATTAACATTTAAATCAGATGACAGTACAGGTATTGAATTTGGTCTAGAACAGGAACTCTGACTCTTAGGCCTTTGTGAACTGGTACAAACATGAGTTCTTGTTTCCAAAGCACATAACAATATTGTGACCATTTGAGTAAACCAGGGAGTTCTCACCTGGGAGTCTGACTTTCACCTGACCCGGTTCATTCTTTCATTTGCTCATATATTTATTTAACAAGCATTTCCTGGGTGCCTATCAGATGCTTGACACTAGGTGCAGGGCATTCCAAGGTATCTTGGCCTGTGACCTTGCAACTTGAGATGTTCGTGGCCTGTAATGGGAAACAGACACATAAATAAACAGATGCTGGGCTGGCCAAGTGGCTCAATTGGTTAAGAGTGCAAGCTCTGAGCAACAAGGGTCACCAGTTTGATTTTCACATGGGCCAGTGAGCTGCGTCCGAGCCGAGCTGCCAACAGGTAGCAGGATGGCTCAGCTGGTGAGAGCACGTGCTCCTAACAACAAGGTTGCTGGTTCGACTCCCGCATGGGATGGTGGGCTACAACCACTCGCAGCTAAGATTGAACACAGCACCATGAGCTGAGCTGCCCTGAGCTGCTGACGGGCGGCCGGATGGCAACTGGACTTGGAGCTGAGCTAGCTGCGCCCTCCACAACTAAGAGTAAAGGACAAAAACTTGGCTGTTCCCCTTCCCCAATTCCCCAATAAAATCTTTAAATACATACATACATACATACATACATACATACATACATAAATGGAATGTGTGATGGGTATAACAGGACATGTCTACATCAGTCAGTGGCAGATTCAGTGGTGGTGTTCGCTGGTCTACATGGCTGTGAATGTTGATCTGAGTTAAGGAATGTGTAATGGCACTAGTAACAATAGCTGACACTTACGGAATATTTACTATGTGGCAGGCTTGGTCTTACATGTTTACTTGTGCTATCTCAATAACGATAGGTACTCCCAGGTTGTGGAGCTTTTATGACAACTCTGGGAGGAAGTATTATTAGCCCCATTTATTGCTCTATAGACAAGGGGAGTTTGTTATGGGCTGAATGTTTGCGTCCCTGAAAAGTACACATGGTGAAGTCCTAACTCCCAATGTGATGGTATTAGATGGTGGGGCCGTTGGGAGGTATTAGGTTTAGATGAGGGTGGAGCTCTTATGATGGGATTAGTGCCCTTGTAAGAAGAGGAAGAGATATGAGAGCTCTCTTTCTCTCTGTCTCCACATGTGCACAGAGGAAAGACCTTGTTGGGCACACAGTGAGAAGGTGGCAGTTGGTAAGCCAGGAAGAGGGGCCTCACCAAAAGTTGAAACCTTGATCTTGGATTTCCCAGCCTCCAGAACTATGAGAAACAAATTTCTGTTGTTTAAGCTTCCCAAGTCTATGGCGTTTTCTTATGGCAGTCCAAACTAAGAACTGAAGGCATTTGCCCAAGATCTCATGGTCCTAAGTGATAGAGTTGGGATGTGAAGCTGTGTTGGTGTAAACCTCAATAAAAGTGAGGCATAGAGGGACGAGGAAGGAGGCAAAGACGGGTTGCAGATGCTTGTCTGCACTTAGCTCCTCTGTGCCTCAGTGTCCTCATCTGTAAAATGGTGATGACAACTATAGTATGTACTTCCTGTGGTTGCAAAGTGCTTAGAACAGCATCTGCCACATGGTGAAAGCTATGTACAGTTTTGCTGTTATCACAATGTCGATGGATTTGATGGATGCAGGGAGGGTAGGAGATTATTGCTATGATACAGGAAGTGATAATGAGGGTCAGTCACACATAGTGTCAGTGGGGATAAAAAGCTGAAGAATTTGAGAGTTTATCACCATAGAAAATAAACAGTGGTGGATGGGATATAGTGGGTGACAGAGAGAGGTCTCCAGCTAGCTTGGGTGACATAGTGACATTAACAGAAATAACTAACACAATGTGCTATGCTCTGTGCTAAATGTCTCTTCTTATGTATCCAGATCCTCACCCAGCTTAATAATTCTTCCATGACATTTATCATACCGCCTGACGTGTGTGTGTGTGTGTGTGTGTGTGTGTGTGGTGTGTGTGTGCGTATGTGTGTGTGTGTATGTGTGTAATATAATGTGTAAGTAGCTGGGGACTACAGCCTAGCCAAGTTGACACATCAGAAAAGCCATCACAAAAGGTGACTTTATGTATGTCCTACTGGTCCCAAGATTATGGTCAGAGGGGTATCAAGGCCATCAAGAATAATTTGGAGATTGCCAAGCATTTGTCTTAAAATGTTTTCGAGTCTGACCGAGAACTCTGACATTTAGAAAAACAAGAAGATATTAAAAAAAAAAGAAAGAAAAAAAGAAAAAAAGTGCCATCACAGAGATGAGGCAGTCTGGTCTTAGAGAGTGCCCAGCTCCCCATGACCTGCTCATGGCATCCAGGAATCCTTCTGGGGCCCCAGTGGCAGATATGGAAGTTGCCCGGCTGATAAGTTTGTAGGGGTGAGGGTGTCACCACTGCAGGGGTGAACTGGCCCTGTGAAGAGGGCTTCAGGGATCTAGGGAAAGTGGCAGTAGATCTCAGGTAATCTACAAAATAAGGAGGTCAGCCAAGAAAACAGACGCTGAGTGACAGCAGCAGGTGCTTCAGAGGCAGGTTAGCCCCTGGGCCTTGGATCTCCTTGGGGAGGAGGAAAAGAGAAGGAACTCTTAAAGACTTAGCATTTTTCCTAGAGGGTGCTAAATGAAGCCCAAGGAGACTACGCAGACTTAGTCACCTCTAATTGGCTTACCCACTCCTCGTCTGCTGGAATGGGCCCCCAAACACTCCCAGAGAAATAGAGAAAGCTGCATTCCCCCCTAATATGGGTCACATATTCCCCTGGACACATGCAGTGTAACAGTGTCTTCCATTTGCTTTGTCTTGCTCCTATCCCAATGTCTGTATGTCTTCTGCAAACATGAGGTCCAGTAGTCATCCCAGTCCCACTATGGTGGTGACTCGATGGGTGACTCTGTTAATTATGCTCTTTGGATTGCAAGGAACAGAGACTCACTGGGACTCCCTTAAGGGAAAGGGAGTGCTGCAGGTTGGGTTTCCAGGGAAGCAGACTTTGAGATGATTTAATATGCAGGATGGTTATTAAGGAGTGGCCTTGGATTAATGACCTCCTGTTGAAGGGGAGAAGGAAGTGAGGTTGAGCAGAGGGAGAAGTAGAGCTGTGACAGCCTCAGACCCCATGACACTCAGGGGAACTCTGGAGCTGGAGTTGTGCCAAGATGGGTTGAGACAGCCATCAGAAGGGTGAAGTGGCTCTCTGTAGCTGAGATAATACTGAAGGGCCTGACACTGTCTGCTGCCAGTGCCCCCCCCCCTCCCAGGAACTCAGTTTCTCTCCCATTCTCCCTGGTTTTCATGACTGTCTTATATATTGTCTACTTATACACTGTCTACTTCTTCTGTGGGTCTGGTCTGCTTTCTCCTGAGCACCACCTTGGTGGTCCTTCCCATGTTCTCCTATTCACATTGACCTTGGTCTAAGATTCCCAAACTGTTCCATGGAACACTGGTTGTGGGTATGTGTACATGTCCTTCAAAAGCTGTGTAATATTTACATGCAAGTTCTTTGTACTCTTTACCTTTCTTTTGTATGTGTTTAAAAAAATCTTCATGATAGAAAATGTCAGTAAATATATCTCTTTATGAAAATATAAGCTGGTAACAAGAGGAGGTAGCATAGAAAGTGGGTAAAAGTCTGAATTCTGAAGTTCGAGTGTGTGAGTTTGAATCTAGCACCTACTAGATGCATGACCTTGGATAAGTGACTTAACCTCTCTATGCTAGCTCTGCTCCCCAGAACAAGGGCAGGATGACTCCTGATAGATGGGGATACTGAGTGACTGGCATGTCCATGGCAGTTATTTTATGGAAAAATATCAAGTATGAAGCCCAAAATGTATTTTAAAAAGTTGTACATGTATGTGTACAAGGACCACCTGGAAAAACTAATTTTACTGATGCCTCATTTTTGGGAGACTGTAAAACATATTTTTCTTACATTTATCCTTAAAGATATATGTACCCCTATTTTCATTGCAGCATTATGCATGATGGCCAAGACATGGGAACAACCAAACTGTCCTTCGATAGATGATTGGATAAAGAAGATGTGGTACATATATACAATGGAGTATTACTTGGCCATAAGAAAAGATGAAATACTGCCATTTGCAACATGGATGGATCTTAAGATTATCATGCTAAGCAAAACAAGTCAGACAGAAAAAGTCAAGAACCATATGACTTCACTGATATATGGGATATAAAACTGAAAGCAACGAAGGAACAAGACAAACAAACAAAGAAACACAAACTCATAGACACAGACAACAGTTTAGTGGTTACCAGAGGGTAAAGGAGGAGTGGGGGTGGTGGTAGAAGAGGGTAAAGGTATCAAGTATATGGTGATGGAAGGAGAACTGACTCTGTGTGGTGAACACACAATGCAATGTATAGATAATGCATTATAGAAATGTATGCTTGAAACCTATATAATTTTACTAACCAATGTTACCCCAATAAATTTAATAAAAATTAAACAAAACAAAACATATTTTTCTCTGTAGATATAGATCTGTCCTTGGAGTAAGTGTGTCCATGCACACTTGGAGGGAAGCCACTGCTTGGGCTGGAATTCTGGGTCCATGAGGAAGTTCCGCAGCATCTTTAGGAAGAAGGAAAGCAGATCTCAGCTCCCTTGGTTATGATGGCTTCTGGCCTGCAGGTGGGAGGGGATCTGGGCAGAGATTCTCCCTCACTAAGGCTACTAACATTAGGCTACTAACATGAAGTCGGGCCCCTTATCATTCGCCATTCATGGGGCAAAAAGAACCTGCTATCCCGAGAAACAGCAGACCTCTTGCAGGGAATGAGAAGCGGGAACAGAGAAGCCTCTCCCTCTGTCATACAAATATCAGATGCCAGATGCCAGGGCAGCGTTACAAAGGCTGGTGGGGTCTCTAAAGGCCAGATGGGGGTCATGGCAGCCAGACAACGGAGAGATGGTGGCTGGGGGGTGTTGGCAGCATGTTGCATCTCTCGGAAAGAACTGGCCAGGCCAGCAGCTGCCAGCTCAGTCTGGCTTTTTCCCAGTCTCAGGGAAAGTGCTTGAGGCACTTGAGACTCTGTTAAGTCTGGACAAGACTAGCAAGGGTGCTTGGAAGGGCAGGGAGTTGAAGAGACTTCAGGGGGAGGCTGAGCTTAATGAGTTTTGGGAGGATCTAGAAGCTGGTGCTCCTAAGCATGGCAGAAATAAGAGGTTGGCTCTCCCTTTCCCCTACTGCTTTTGTTGCGTGAATGACCATTGAAGCACTTATGAAATTGGGGTCTTGTGGGTGTTCACTCCCCTCTCACCACTGTGGCTGCAAAGTGGAGGTCAGAGGGTGTGGTTTGGAGGCCCTTTCTGGGCGTTAATTTCCAGAAGTTTTTTGATTGTCCTCTTTCCCACATCTAATCAACCAGCAAGTGAGGTGGATTTTACTTTCTTAATGTCACTTCACTTCTCTTTGTTCCCTGACAGGGTCTCATGGCTGTAGGACTCATGGCAACTTCCTTTTCAAACACTGCAATGGAGCGACTCTAGCAAGGATTGGCGCTACACTCTTGTATAATCATGTACAAGTAATCACATACATCCCATCACCTTTGCCACATCCATTGGCGAGAAGCTAGTCACAGGTGCTGCTCACACTCAAGGGGAGGGGATTAAACAAAAGTGTGAAGGGGGATCAAGGGGGCCTGCTCACCATACCTGTCCGACCTGCTCACCTGTCCGACCATTTTGGGCAACATTTGGTGTGACTCAGGACTTGGACGGCTGCAGGTCGGCCACACCAGGCAGGGCAAGGCAGGGCAAAGGTACAAAGGTGCGGCAGAAGCTGTGGCAAATCCTCTGTAGACCCTGAAAACTTTGTTTTTGAAGGAATATCTGATTTTTGAGAAAGATCAAAAAGGCTTCCAGGTAGAATTTCCTCAAGTGACTGCTATGAAAGGGACACGCTTTACAGGTTTGTGTAAATTCAGGAAGCCATTGGTAGGGACACAGAGGAAGAACTTAAGAGTAGGAGGACATAGGAAGGTTGCCAAGGTTATCATCTGTACATGACAGAGAAACAGAAAGGAGCAGGAAAAGATTTAGAAACACCTAGGCCTCTGGCAGTGGGATGCAAGAGGTATTGACCAAGTACAATACTCAAGTGAGGGAGCTGAACTAGATACAGAAATTCTGTAGATAGGCAGAGAGGGGCTATTGGTATATTTAGCATTTCCTTCCTGACCAGGAAGGGGAAGCCAGGAAGGCCTTCAGCCTAGATGTCTTTAGAAGGCAAACGAGGGGCCGGCCAAGTGGCGCGTTGGTTAAGAGCTGGCTTGGGACGCCAGCTCTGAGCAGCAGGGCCCTGGTTTGGATCCCATATGAGGGCCAGTGACACTGCCCTCTACAGCTAAGATGCTGAACAACAGCTCCACCTGGAGCTGGGCTGCCGTGAGTCGCCAGTGATGGTGTGGGCTGCAGCCCCTGCTGCAGTGGGCTGCCATAAGCTACCGTGTGTGGCCGGCAGCCAGCATGAACGGCCGGCAGCCGGTGTGAGCTGCCAAGAGCCGCCATGAGTGGCCGTCCAGAGGCCGGCGACTGATCTGCCTCACCCGGGAAGAGCGCAATGATAATACCAACATAGGCCAGTGAAGCAATGTCCTCCACAACTAGACTGAAGAACAAAAGGACAGCAACTTGTCTGTTCCCCTTCCCCGGATTCCCCAGCGCTGTTTTCCTCCCCCAATTCCCCAATAAAATCTTAAAAAAAAAAAAGGAAGGCAAATGAGGACCAGGCCATGCCAGTCTGCCTGTCACCAGGCCTGGGACAGTATTGTGGAGTGATAGGGGACTCAGGGATGTCTGCAGAGACATGTATGTAAAGTAGATGTGATTTTACTGAATGTTTGAACTGTCTTACAGAATAAATCCTACTTAAGAATAGGTCTGACTAAGGCAGGAAACCCCACTTAAAAAATGTTAGAATCAAACAAAGTTATATATGCACTAGACATTTGAAACTCAGTGTCTGATTATATCCTGGGCCATAAAACAAATCCCAATAAATCTAAAATGATTGAAATCAAACAGAGAGTGTTCTCTGAGTACAATGGAATTAGATTAGAAATCAATAACAAGGGCTGGCCAAGTGGCTCAGTTGGTTAAGAGCGAGAGCTCTGAGCAACAGGGTCACTGGGTCGATTCCCACATGGGCCGGTAAGCTGCTGCCGGAGCTGAGCTGCCGCTGAGCTGCCAACAGTTGGCAGGATGGCTCAGTGGTTAGAGTGTGTGCTCTTAGCAACAAGGTTTCCGGTTGGACTCCCACATGGGATGGTGAGCCACGCCCACCCTCAACTAAGATTGAACACTGCACCATTGAGCTGAGTGGCCATGAGCTGCCAACAGGCGGCCAGATGGTGAATGGACTTGGAGCTGAGCTAGCTGCACCCTCCACAACTAAACTAAGATTTAAGGACAACTTGACTGTTCCCCTTTCCCAATTTCCCAACACTGTTCCCCTTCTCCAATAAAAAAAAAAACATCAATAACAACATCTAGAAAAAAAATCAATAATTTGGAAATTAAGCAACATACTTCTATACTATCCATGGTAAAAAAAAAAAATCACCAGGGAAATTAGAAAGTTTCCCAACTGAATGATAATGAAAATACAACTTTTAAAAGTTGGTGTGATGTAGCTAAAGCAGTGCTTGGAGGGAAATTTATAGCTTTAAATGCTTGTATTTGACAAGAAGACATATTCAAAGTTAGACCTAAGATTCCACCTGAAGAAGCTAGAAAAAGAGGGAAGTAAGTAGAAGTTACTAGCAACTAGAAGGAAGGAAATAAAAGCAGAAATCTACGAAGTATAAATGAGAAAAACAAGAAGAGAAAATTAACAAACTCATCATATTTTGTGATATTATTCCTCCCCCTTTTCTAGCCACAACTGATTGGTTGATAATTCATTTGTAGTAAGAGTATGAAATAATAGTTAATTACTTCCTCTTGAGTTCTTGATACTTTCACCTCATAGCCAGAGAGAACGTTTTTGCCAGTAGGTGGCAGCACTGGCACCTTGAAAACCCCGACATGCTGCGTTCTGGGCCGGGTTGGGGACTACTGATTGCCGCTGGGCTGTAAGGGGGTTAATTGAAGACAGGAGAGAGAAAGTCAACTCCAGAAAGCAAATCCTCACTCACACTTAGGACAGGAAAAAGTTAGCGATTTCACAAGAACACTTGAAACCTAAAAGCCCGTGGAATCAATGCTTGAAAACCTTGCTAATTAAAGCCAGGGGTTCTTTTTTGGAGTGCTCTGGATGGGCTTCGGGATCTCAGAAAACGCCGTCTCCCATTGCGTGCAAATCTGGACACCCCCACCCCTTCACCCCTCCGTCGTCCACAGTTTCTTTCTTTCTTTCTTTCTTTTTTTTTTTTTAGGACGTTGCCCCACCAGCCCAAGCTGGCACCATCACTGTGCTCCTCCCGGGCGAGGCAGATCAGTCGCTGGCTTCTGGACGGCCGCTCACGGCTGCTTGAGGGCCGCTCACGCTGACTGCTGGCTACACACGGTAGCCCATGGCAACCCACCTGCAGGCACCCGCGACTCACGGCAGCCCTGGGCTGTCGTTCAGTATCCCAGCTGCAGAGGGCACCGTCACTGGCCCTCATATGTGGGATCCGAACCGGGGCCTTCTGGCATCCCAAGCCAGCTCCCAACCAACGCGCCACTCCGCCGGCCCCACAGTTTCTATGAGTCTCAAAATGAACAGGGATTTAAAACATTTAAGATGCCCTGCTGCAAATGCTCCATTAAACACCACTTAGAAGTAAATCACGCATAAGCCTGGGCTGTAAAGAGAGGTGGTAAAGAGAACTCAGTCCTTAGGTGGGAGAGGCAGTGCATAGCAGCTTTTATAATTTTTTCTTACTGAAGGGTCGTTTGGGGCGGAAAGGGAGAGACCACATTTTGCAGGATTTCTATGTGCGCCAAACGAGGTGCTTTTCACAAATGTCCTCATTTAATCTTTGCAGTAATCCTTCGTGTTTGGTGTTCACATCCTTAACATTATTCCCCCAAATCCCTTAAGAGGGCCTTAATGGAGTGCCGGCTATTGTGGTTCCGGGCTTGAAGTGAATGCACACATTGACTATTCCCCTCTTTTACAGACAAAACTGCCATGCGATTTTCTTTGTTTAAATGAACTTTCCTTTAAAAATAGCCTTTCGTTTGTTTCTTTGGTCTGTCGCTTTCAGTCAAGAGGCACCCTCAGAATTGGCAGCATAAACACAGACGTAAGGCAGGAGCCAATACGATTTTAGGTTGAACTTAGAAAGTGCCGCAACCTCACTTTTCCCATCTCGCGGGCTCCCCAGGTGGCCCGCGGCCCTGGCGCGATTTGGGCGGGAGAATCCGGGGTCGGGGCTCCGCGGCAGCCTCCGCGCTGGGCTGACTAGCGGCGGGGTTTGGGAGGGGGTGGGCTGGGCTCCACGTGGCCGCCGCCGCCAGGTTCGCGGGGTCCCGAACTGCAGCAGGAACAGGCGAGAGGCGCGGGGCGTCCAGTGAGCCCCGGCCCCCGAGCCCAGCGTCCCATGGCGGGCGCCCGGCCGGTCTGCAGCCTTGCGGCCACCCACTAGCCTGGCCGGGCGGCCCCTGTCGCCTCACTCCTCGCAGCCGCGCCCAGGCCCGGGAGACGCCGTGAGGAGGATGAGTCCCCGGAGCCGGCTGCTACTGCCGACCCTCTGCCTCCTGTTCACCGGCGCAGCACCGCGGCGCCGCGCGCCCGCCTCCGCCGACTGCGAGCTCAAGCCCCAGGTAAGGCGCGTCGGGCACGGGCGGGCGGGCGGTCTCCCGGCACCTCCTGCATGGCTACCTTCCGAACCCCGCAAAGCACCGCGCACTTGGTCCCAGAGCCGACTCTGCGGGCGGGGCTCCACCTCCCACGGCGGCGCCTTCTTGCTCGCGCGAACCGCAGCGCCCCTGGCCCCCTCTTAGGCGGGGGCGTAGTCCTGCGGCCGCATGAGACCCTGTCCCCCAGTCCTCGCCATTCGTCAGCCCAAGGCAGACCCGCCGGGGTCTCCTGGTTCTTGCCAGCCTGAGTCGGGGGCGTTTGAGGGACGAGTCGGCCAAGACCGTGTGGGGCCGAGACTTGGGCACCTTTACTTTGGAACTTTGTTCCGCGCTCTCTTCCCTAGTGTTTAATTTCTCCTGCCCTTATCGAAATGGTGAAAGCACCCTGCAGCTGCTTGAGTTAACCTTTGTATTATTCAGTTCGGAGTTAGAAGGGATTTTGGGGAGCCGAAGCCATTCCCCTTATTTTACCCATCTGGGAAACTGAGGCTTAGAGAGGGACCTTTGAGCCCCAGAGCGCATTCGCGGAGGACCACGTCTGACAGCCTCGTGTTCACGCACCCGGCGCTTCCTTAGCTGTTCGCATCGGGGTTGTGCGGACGAGGGCAATCGAGGCGAGGAAAGCCCAGTGAACAGCCGGGGTCCATCAGCCCTCTAGGAACAGAAGACGAGAGGACGCCGGGCAAGTCTCGCGTCTCGGAGGCTGGACCTTTTTTGAGATGAATGTTTCCTTCTCCTGATCCATTTTCTTACGCTCGGAATTTTCTGTCGTTCTCAACTACCTCTCGTCTGTGCGTCGTGGAGGGTGAATGTTGTGTTTGTATCGGTGGGTCCTATCTCTGCATCCCTGTCGCTGGGGAGGGTGAACCCGGGCTTGTCCTGGCCTGTGTGTCCTCGGACGCCAGTTACCGGTGTTCAGGGTCGGCGCATCTTCGCTGGCACCTGCGCAGCATCCGGGGCCGCGTCCACCTCTGGCTGTTCTTAATTTTATTCATCGACCTAAGCGCAACAAAGGAGAGGGTGACCTAATCGACCGGTTTTGGGCGCATGGGGCTGGCCCGAGAGTCGCAGTGTGTTTTTAAGGCGCCTGGGCCGCGGACTCGCCCTCTAGGAAGGCGGGAGGCGCGGAAGCTGGATGGAGAGGGAAGTCCGCACCAGGGAGTTTCAAACTCCGCTGCGGTGTGGCCGCTGCCCGCTCGTTATACAAAGCAGAAGTCCATCCTTTCATATGAAAGCGAAATGTCTCACCTTTACAAAATCTATTACCAACTCGGAATTATGTTATGACCAATGAGTCTTAATAAGGTCTTTCTCTTCGCTTGGATCTGTCTTCATGGGTCTTTTATTTACCAGGTCTCAAACTTATTGTTTTGAGGACCCTTCTACACTCTAAAAAACGATTGAGGTCTCCAAAGAACTTTTATGTATGTGGGCTAACGTAAATATTAATAAAACACAAGAATACACAAGCACTCAGGCCATTAACCGTCAGTGGTGATGCCACGTGCCTGTTGCCTCCAGAAAATTCTATTTGTACACTTGTGAGAGAATGAGAGTGAAAGATGAAAATATCTCAGTATTATGAAGATAGTTCTGACCTTACAGACCTATTGAAAGGGTTGTAGGGACACCGATAGGTCCCTGGATCACACTGAGAATCGCTGTTCTATTCTGTGGACAAACTCTTATCCCCTGCAGAGGTCGGAAGGTCAGTCAGTGGCAGGGCTGTATGCTTGACCTGCATACTGTAGGGCACCGTGGGTGAATCCCTCAGGGGGTTGGGGTCTTTAGATTGTAGAGTGAAGCTCTGGAATCCAGCCTTCAATCCAGTGCAGCGTTTACTATCTATTTCTGGAAGGACTGTGGCTTGAGAGCTGGATTGGTTTTCGTTAATCATTAGACAGTTCTTAGCAGAGAAGTCCGACAGACACTGCAGCCTTTTCTGAGCACCACATAGGCGGTGCCTCGTCCTTATCGATACTCAAACAAAACTCTTGAGTTCTTTATTATTGCTGCCTGTATTCTTTTACATTTGCTGTTTCTTCTCAGGGAGAGCCACATGCTTGCTCCTGTACTTCCATCTGGTCTTTGTTCAAATGTTTCTCAATGAGATCCTTCCTGATGACTTATTAAAGATTATGTCAACCCTACCCCCACTTCTCACCCTGCCTGCCCTCCTCTCTGCTTTCCCTAATTTATTTTTGTCTGTAGCACTTAACTATCATCTGATAAAATTTTTTGTTTATTGTAACAAAAATTATGTAATCTTCATAAGGGTAGGGACCTTTGTTTGCCACTGTATCTCCAGTGCCTAGAAGAGTGTGTGGCCATAGTAGATGCTCAATAAATATTTGTTGAATGGAAAAGGTAAACTAAAGCCAACTTACTTTAGTATCATTCTAGCTGGTCTGCTGAAAAGTACCCTTGGAAAAGTGCAGTTATCACAAGTTCCAGGAAGCTGGGATGGGAGGACCTGTGGGGTGCAGCAGCTTAGGGACTTAGCCGACATTACACAAGTTGTCATTGTGCTTCTTTGTTTCATTGTGTGGATTACACACGTGTGTGTTAACATCTCCAGTGATTCAGTTGATAGAACTTGTGGCTTCTTGTATCTCCATCGTTCATGGCCATGACTTTTTCTTTTAGGATGGTTGCAGCAAGGATTAGAAGGGGCATGTTAATAGTGTTAAGTTTTTTCTTTTAAGTCATCATAATATTAAAACACATGGCTTCCTCTAATAGCATGTGGTGGCCACAACGACAGTGAAATATGGTAGTAGAACAATTTTTTTTTCTTTTGTGGAGACAAACAGCCCTCCTCTGAGGATATCAGTATGAGGGAGGCAGGGGCAGCTGCACCTGTAAGATCAGTGCAGCTGCCTGGGGGCTTGCCCATGTTCAGAGGCAAGGTCCGAGCTCCCTGATCAGACCGCCTGAAGACTTTTCTTTTAGCTGCCCGGCAGGGCACTGTCAGTGGCCAGCAGGGTCGGTTGCTGGTGCAGAGTGGTAGACAGGGTGCCCTACTTGGTCAGGATAGAACCCCATTTATTGAAGAAGCTCTATAAGGTGAGGATTGTTTCTTTAAAAACACTCTAAAACCACTGGCTTAAAAAAAGTGGACCTGGGTTGGCCGAGTGGCTCAGTTGGTTAAGAGCTTGCTCAAGAGTGCGAGCTCTGGGCTGGCTGAGTGGCGCACTGGTTAAGAGCTGGCTTGGGATGCCAGTGGGCCCCGGTTCGGATCCCACAGATGAGGGGCAGTGACACTGCCCTCTACAGCTAAGATGCTGAACAACAGCTTAACCTGGAGCTGGGCTGCCATGAGTCGCCAGCGACAGCGTAGGCTGCAGCCCCTGTGGCAGTGGGTTGCCATGGCTACCGTGTGTAGCCAGCAGCCAGCGTGAGCGGCCAGCAGCAGCCATGAGCGGCAGTCCAGAAGCTGGTGACTGATCTGCCTCGCCCGGGAAGAGCGCAATGATGGTGCCAAGTTGGGCCAGTGAAGCAATGTCCTCCACAACTAGTCTGAAGAACAAAAGGACAGCAACTTTGTCTGTTCCCCTTCTCCCAATTCCCCAGCGCTGTTCCCATCCCCCAATTCCCGAATAAAAAAAAATCTTTAAAAAAACGAGTGCGAGCTCTGAGCAACAGGGTCGCCGGTTTGATTTCCACAGGGGCCAGTGAGCTGCGCCCAAGCTGAGCTGCTGCTGAGCTGCCAACAGGTGGCAGGATTGCTCAGCTGGTGAGAGCACGTGCTCCTGACAACAACGTTGCCTATTTGAGGTGGTGGGCTATGCTAGCCCACAACTAAAGACAGAACTCGGCACCTTGAGCTGAGCTGCCAGCCAGGTGGCTCAGGGGATAGAGTGTGCACTTTTTTTTAAAAAAGATTTTTATTGGAGAATTGGGAGAAGGGGAACAGACACGTTGCTATCCTTTTGTTCTTCAGTCTAGTTGTGGAGGACGTTGCTTCACTGGCCCAAGTTGGCACCATCATTGTGCTCTTCCTGGGGGAGGCAGATCAGTCGCCGGCTTCTGGACGGCCGCTCACAGTGGCTGCTGGCCACTCACACTGGCTGCTGGCCACTCACGCTGGCTGCTGGCTACACATGGTAGCCCATGGCAACCCACCTGCCATCGCTGGCCACTCATGGCAGCCCAGCTCCAAGTTGAGCTGTTGTTCAGCATCTTAGCTGTAGAGAGCAATGTCACTGGCCCTCATATGTAGGATCCGAACTGGGGCCCTCTGGCGTCCCAAGCCAGTTCTTAACTAATGCGCCACTCGGCCGCCCGAGCGTGCACTTTTTTTTTTTTAATTGGGGAATTGGGGGATGGGAACAGCTCTGGGGAATTGGGAGAAGGGGAACAGACAAGGTTGCTGTCCTTTTGTTCTTCAGTCTAGTTGTGGAGGACGTTGCTTCACTGGCCCAAGTTGGCACCATCATTGCGCTCTTCCCAGGAGAGGCAGATCAGTCGCCGGCTTCTGGACGGCCACTCACTGCGGCTGCTGGCCACTCACGCTGGCTGCTGGCTACATACGGTAGCCCATGGCAACACACCGCCACAGGGGCTGCAGCCTATGCCGTCGCCGGCGCCTCACGGCAGCCCAGCTCCAGGTTGAGCTGTTGTTCAGCATCTTAGCTGTAGAGGGCAGTGTCACTGGCCCTCATATGTGGGATCCGAACCGGGGCCCTCTGGCGTCCCAAGCCAGTTCTTAACCATCGCGCCACTCGGCCAGTCCCTGAGCGTGCAGTTTTAACACAAGGCTGCTGGTTTAACTCCTGCATGGGATGGTGGCTATGCCTACCCGCAACTAAGACTGAACTCGGCACCTTGAGCTGAGCTGCTTCCTGGGTGGCTCAGAGGATATAGAGCATGTGCTCTTAACAATGAGGCTGTTGGTTCGACTCCTGCATGGGATGGTGACTATGCCCACCTGCAACTAATTGAACACAACACCTTGAGCTGAG